AGGTCACAAAACTTCACTGGTTCAACTCCTTGTGAGCCCATAGAAGCAAAAGATCACAGTAAATTCTTTTATTTTGAATTACTGGGGAGAAAGGGAGAAAGAAGCAAAACCCAAACCAAACCAAAACCAAGTAAAAATAAAAATTACCTGCTGTCTTGGGTTATTTAAGAGAAGACACACCCTCCACACTCTCATGATACACATGGCTGTTCAACAGCACTTTTGTTTAGCTTAACCAGTATTTTAAATTATAAATAAAACAGTGCTTGTAAAGGCTAGATAAGATCATTTATTTTTTCTCTAACTGTATACCTCCACCAAATTACCTCAAGGCTTAGACCTTTCCTGTAGACCAGAACCTTCACTTGCTAATCAATAGCTCAGGTTAGTCTCCAAAAGCTACACTAGAAAAATTCTTTTTTTTTAATCTCCTGAAAGTCACTCAGCTCAGAGGAGAAGAATATATAGATTCAGGCTAGAGTGAAAGAGTATGGTCAAGTTTATTCCAAATAAATAGCAAAATTCATCTATACAATGTTTCTGGGATGGACTAGCTATTTAGAATAATGAATTCTCATTCTAGCCAAAATGGAACAGCTAAAAACCACAATGGTGTGAAGTAACGGAAATAATTCTATTGTTTTGTGAGATGTACAGGAATCAACAAAGTGCAACAAAGAACTAGTATAAAAACACCTGACTGCTTTCAAATTCCACTTGTTGATACCTCTGCAGCTCCTAAAATTATTGGCAATGTTCTGCTACTACAAATTAGCATATGCTTACATATTTGAGTTATATTAATAACATATAGGTATTACACACTGAGAAGAAAATGTGCTTGTGTGAACAGAACAAAGAGCTGTACCTCAAAGCCTTAAAAAAAAACCAAACCACAAACAGAAAAAAACCCCAAAAACTTAGCTTTGTCAGAGCAAAATGCACACAAAGACAAGGATTTGGGTTCCAAAAATCAAAAAAACCCCCCAAACTAGTACCTGCTACATTTTGCATCCAACAAAGGAATTACCACTAAATTTTAAATGAAATATCAGACATTATTTACAGAGGCATCTGAGAGAAATAAAAAGATAAAAAAAAAAAAAAAAAAAATCATCTGCTATGTAAGAGCCTCTCCATGGAATGATACTATCCAGAAACCTACTTTTGAATTGTATGCTGCTTCTATCTCTGGGAAACATATTTCTGCAGGAGAACCATATTCATTATTTGGATGAAGAGAACCTTCCTGCCAAAAGATTTTTCCAGTGATACTACTACATTTTAGAACAACTCTCAATGAATATTTGAATCACCAAAAAATTTGAAATATTTGTGCAACAGGGCTTCAAATTTTAAATCTCAAATCAAAAACCCTTAGCCTTTGTCCTCATGATAATTTAAACATACACATGCAGTATTTTAGACCACTAGATGTTCTACTTTAGTGAATGTAAACGTTAACAAAATGCTACTATCCTGAGTTTGAGAGTTGTCCTGTGCCTTTGCAGGTAGACTTCCATGCTTTCTCTGGAGTTGTAAAAGAGTTTCTGAAGAGAAACACTGCTGGGATTCTTGTTCCTCTTCAGGTTCTGACTGCTGTTCACCCTTACAGAAAATACAGGAGTAGAGTCTTGTAGTGAAGTTTCAAAGCCCACACACAGTAATCTCTTTTCCAGAGCATCTACTGTCCTCTGTGATTTTTGTTTGGGAAACTAAGGCTTGTCAATATGCCATGATTTACAGACTTTCCTCATGAAAGGAAAGCATTTGCATTCAGTTGTACAAGTGAAAATAAGACTTGATTTGGAATGCACACCAGGTGTGCCAAGAAGGGAAAATCTGAAGGAATCAAGGGGAAAGGAGGGGACACAATACAAGAACACCAGGAGGGTGAAAGGACAACTGACAATTTTTCCTGCACTATCAAAATCTGCTATTTCATGAACACTTTATGGATACTTGTAATGTATTTAGACTGTCACTGCACTTGTGAAATTAGAAAATACCCCTTATAATGTCATTTATATTAGGCCTCTAAACAACTATTAAAAAATTATCGTTTTTCCTCAATTGGATAGTTCCAGTGAAGTACACAAATCTTAACAGGTGGAGAGAAACTGAAGAAGTATTTATTCATTGCAGTGTTTGAGTCTTCCTTTTTTCAACAATTCCTCAGTTTTGAATGCATTTATTTTAAATTTATTTTTCCAAACCACTGCTTATCAGAAGCAGCAATCAAATACCTGGACAGCTGAATAGCTAAGTAAGGGAAATTAATTACTTAATTCACTGGGATTTTTGTCAAATTATATACATACTAGTATGGGGGGGATACAAATTTTTTCTGAAAAGGTTTTTCTTACCACAGAAGCATTTCAAGTCTAGCTGCAAGATCTAAAGGTACACATGAGGCAAGATGGGAAAAATCATGTAGCACTTAGAAGTCTGAGACTATGAAAAAGATAACACAATGTTTTATTATATAATCGCCATTAGCAATAACTTATTTCTAAACTGGCCTTCCAAGAAACTTATCCAAGTGTCTACTCTCAAATACTGAGGAATACAGGTATAAGTGATACGGAAGAAACATTACTTTTATACTGACCTAAGGATTAATCATTTCATCGTTCTATCTTCTCAGCTGAGCAGTTGGTCCAACTGCCTGGGAAATAACCTGAACTCTCAGTGACCTTTGTTAACCAAACAACATATCCTCAGAGGTCTGGAGCAAAGAAACTCTCCAAACCTTGAACCAAGACAGTTAGGACAGCGTTAAAGTGCCCTACCCATTCTACTCCCCTTTATTCAGAATACTGCAAGAAGTTTTGGTTAGAAGGAACTTCTTCAGCTATTTTTAAACTTGTAGTAAACTCACAATGAACTTATAGGACCGACAAAGGGAAAAGCAGCCACAGGAAATGGGAGAGACAAATAACAGCATCTCTTCCATCATCCTAATTAGCAACAGTACTGCATCTGAGGTGGAATTTGTTAAGCGCTTATCCTACCTGTTTACAAACTTCAGCAAAAGGCAAGAAAAAAAAGCACCAGTCTATCACATCACTTTGAAAAAAAGACACTGCCAGCACTCAGATAATTGTTTATCAAAGGCTATTTAGTCTATTTAATTGCCAGTCTTAAAAAAAAAAAAAAAAAAAAGCTTGCCAGATTTCCATTATTTATTATATGTGGAGTGACTCGCTAAAGTACTTGGAAAGATTTACTTCCAAGTGGTCACCTACTTAGATCAAGCGCTAAATCACTGACTCTGTGGTGGTGTTTGTTTAGGTGGCAGCAGTTGAGCTGGACCAGCCTCAATGGCCCCTCGCTGAGGCCTCTGTGTGTGTGGCCCTTTCTCGCAGCAGCTGCCTCGACACATAATTCCCACTGTATATACCGAGACCATTGTTATTTTAATGTCACTCCGACAGCCGACTCTGTGCCCTCACCACCCCGCAAACAGCTCCTCAGGGCACAGCACCCAAAGCCCCGCAGCAAAGCCACCTGTCAGGATGAAGATAAATCATAACACAGTCACAATGTCCACAAAACACCCCCCCATTTCCACAAAGCACACCCACACATTTCCCACAAAACAGCCCCCAGTTTTTAAAGGCATAATGTTTTAGGTGCAGCTGCATCAGCCTGAGGCACAGCTAGAACCAGTATTTATAAAACTCAAGACAGCATTTTACACAACCAACCACATCTTCATGCATGTTTTTCTGTTATCTCTCCTGTTGTTTTATATCGAATGACAAAAATAATTTATAATTGCAATTAAATTAAATTATTTTAAAATAAAAAATAAATTTTAATAATAAATTAATTCTTGATTATCTTAAAGAATATTAATCTCCTATTTATTCCTGATAGTTTGATAGAACTTTCTCACCCTTGCCCTGCAATGCCCTCCACAAGATTGGGAAGGTTATAATTTGTTTATAATACAGGAAAAGAGAAGGAGAAAATATTCATAATGACTAAATAAAAGATGTAAAGACAAAACAACTACTAGCAGGAGATAAACATGGAATTTAAGTCCTGTTTCAGTTGCAGAGCAGTTTGCCTACACTTCCTCTAAGGTAAATGTACATTTAGGTGAATATCAGCCCGCTGGATGTACAGAGTCCAGAAAGATTAATTTCCTAATGTGATGCTGAAATAGATGGATCACGAATACTTTCACAGAGAATGTGCAAAA